GTATGAACCATTTCCTTGAATGAAGTTACCCTTAGCCACATATATGTTTCACTGGTTTTTCTCATCTGAGGAACACAGCCTGTATAAGATATAGAAACACAAGAAACTATTGTTTTGAAGGCCATCATGGTGCTTGGGAGGGATCAGTATGTAATGATGGTATATTCATCACTGGCACCATTATGTGAGCACGTGCCGTCCTAGTCACATAAAGGCTGAACATTCCAGAAGCTTTCTTATTTAACCTTCACAAGCATTATCTGACAATCTATAATTACACATTTTATGGCTGTTGACAATGAAACACAGAGACGTGAGTCAGGTGACATGGCCACACACAGGCAGTTAGGAGACACAGTCTCCTAACTTGGTCTCCTGCTGTCATCTTATGCCACCTTAGGGAGGAGCCTGGAGGTGGGATTTGTCCTGTGGGCCTGCATTTATCGGAGCTGTTGGTTCTTTTTTCTATCGGATGGCAGTGAGCTTTCTTCTTTCAAAATTGTGATTTGAACTTACAAAGGAAACTAGCTTTTTTTATTCAACCATAAATACGTATTTTGTTCTATAACATTCATTTTAACACCCGCAGTGTAACCACACTTTCCTTACTTCCTCTCTGTAACTGATTTCCACTAATCCTTCTATGCCTCTCTGTAGCTTCCTTTTTCTTTTCAGGTTATTGTGCTGATCATCTCTTTATTGTAGGTTGCCTTTCTCTTCACTCATCTTTCTAAGAAAGATCTATCTACTAATTTTTACTAATTATCTACTAATTTTTACTTCTGTTCTCCCCACTTCCCATTCCTAGTCACCATCCAAGAATAAGTCTATTCGCATATAAATTTTTCTGTAGCTTTTTTACAATAGTGGTTTTATACCATAATAATGCTTTTCTGATTGATCTATTTCACTCATTGTAATGTCCTCTATATTTTGACATGTTTAGACATGTTATGCTGTGTTTTATGAATTCTCTGTTTTTGAATTGTGTGAATGTATTGTAATTTCTTTATCCATTTGTCCATTGATAGACAAATTGCTACTGTAAACAATGTGACAACCAACATGAGCTCACATTGATCTGTTTATGTCACAGGTCTTATTTCTTTAGGGTATGTATATATATGCATATATACATACATACATACACCCTGGCAGTAGGAGTGCTGGATCAAGTGGCATTTCTATTACTAACTTTCTAAGAAAGTGCCAAACTGCTTTCCACAGCACAATTTTACAGTACTAGGAGCAGTGTGTGAGAAATTTAATCTCTCATACCCTCTCTAGCATTTCTTGTTTGTTGCCTCTTTCAACTTCCAACTGCAGCTGATATCTCAGTGTTGTTCTGATTTCTGTCTTTCTAATAGCTAATGATCTCAAGTATTTCTCATGTGTTTATTTGCCATCCAAAAATCTTCTTTGGTGAAGCTTCAGAATCATTTCATCTGCTTTGCTCAATTTATAATTGTGTAGTTTTTCTTTTTAAGGTATTGGGAGTTTTCTATAGATTTTATAGATTAGTCCTTGTTAATTTGACACGACCTAATATTTTTTAAGAAAAGGTGAGGAAAAATGGAGTTGCTTTCATAGTCAAAAAAGAAATTTCTAGGTCCATCCTGAAGTACAACATTGTGAGTGATAGGATTATATCCATACGCTTACAAGGAAGTCCA